GCTGAAATAAATAATTCTCTACTATTATTCTGACATTTTACATTCTTAAAATAAAGAGTTGATCCTAACTGACCTAAGATATGGAATTCTTACTAGGATTAAATGTCAGGAATTGTAAAAAACGGAGTTTAAATGTATTTGGCTAAGGTGTATGTAAACTTCCGACTTCAACTCTAAGTACTTTACACCACTGAGACCTAATGTGTCATGTTTCTGTTAATGAGCAAAAATTTACATTCGAATTAGTAGGCTCTCTATCATATACATTTTATTGAACCAAGATGGGTTTTTTAGAAAATCACAAGCACAAAATAAAGGTTTTTGCGCACCTTCTTTTCCGACTGCGGTGCTCTTCTTCCATTGAGGATTTGTAGTGTATCAATCCTATTTTCTGCTCTACAACTCTGTCCTCTAATATAATTGGCTGCTAAAATCCAGAGCTGGGATGATGTTAATTTTGGATATGGGCTCTCACATTCCATACGCACATTTTCAAAACAGAATTTCATGACGAATATCCAGATCTGATTTCACTTACATACCAGGCTTCTGATGCACAGTATAAGGATACGTATTAAATCATAATAGTGTAGTATCAATGCCACGGTTTCATGTTGTGTGAGCTAAAACGATTGACTGATGTATCAATGCAGCTCTTGCACTGTACATGCTTTGATATAGACATTTGATAAGGGATTAGTGATAATGCTCTCGTTCGTGATCTCAAGATCTAATGTAATAAGAAGTGCCTAAAACTATGTTACAGAAATGTGTTCCTCCGGAAATATTGTATTCACGTATTAGAGAGCGCGAGAGAGAGTGAGAGCGAGAGTGTGTGTTGCGATAAAACCCTGGAGTCAAATGATTGAACTTTCAAACCTTCACGCTTTATTCCTTCAACTGTCTTTATCCAATGGAATCAGGGACATCATCATAATCTTCTAACAGTCACATTATCAGAAAGGTTTACAGTAATAAAAAGCTCATCATGGGTAATTTTCTTTAGAATGATAACGGTTACTTAGAACAAAAATAACAATTTCTACCAAAAATATTCAAACAATGTTAATATACAATAGTCATATATTTCCTTTGAAATATACATAGATTTGTTCAATTTGGATAGGTCATACTCCCTCTCTTTGCTTTATGATTTCCATGCGACAATTGATTCTCCACCACAAGCCACTGAAACATCAACTCTGATTAAAACCTGTTTTACTCATATTTCCCCACTCTTTTCAGTTCAATGATTGTTGCCAGGAAACAAATAGGCTATGCAGCAAAGTAAGGAAACGTGAATTTGAGAGTAAGAGAAACTTGACATTAGTAGGCCTCAGCAGTGATTGCAACCATCTCCGTTCAGAAAACAAGTTGGCTAAGTGCAGTATTTCAGTGAGAACAAACTTAGATGCACGACAAGAAGAAAAAACTGTTTCATAAAGAATACTCTTCGCTTTTTAAACTTTTCTTAGATAGTGATTTCGTTTTTTTGGTATACGTTCTTTCAGCACTGGCTTTCATAGAGTGAGAGCGAGAGAGGAACTCTCTCTTTGTTTCATCGTGGCGAGGCGACGAGAGGCTTGGCGCCCGCAAACAATGTTCCAGAATGCAACAGCACCGTGAGACTGAGGTTAGCGCGGCAGGTGGAGGGTCCCAATACTGCAGCCAGGTGCACTCCAGCTGTCCTGGTTGTGGCTCAGCAAGCAGTGACTGCTCTAAGCAGGGCGTTGGCTAGAAGGCAGCTCAGCAAGGCGGCCAGGCTGACGTAGGAGGCAGAGGCACCGCTGCAGCCCCTCTCTCCCTCGCAGAGCAGCTGCTCACACAGCACGCCCTTGTACTCCGGCAGACACAGACACTTCTGGTTCTGGAAGCAGGTGCCTCCATTCTGGCACAGCAGGAACTCATCATCGCAGACATTGGCTACGAGAGGAGACAGGGAGGAGATGGAGAAAAAGGGGGGAGGAAACAAAGTGAATAGGATCAGTGTGACCACTGAATGCCTCAAGCCTAGAAACAGTACAGGACACCCTGAGAAAAGTGGTTTTGGCAACGGGTACAGTACATTATCAAGACACCTGTTCTGACCTTACCTGTACGGTTTACATTTTCTGTTGAATGACTGATTATACGGTAAAGCTTGCCAGATTGTTACACGACCTTGCGAAGGAGTCATAGAGCTCACTGTGCATTGATTATCATTCAATTGGCAAACTGCTCAACTTTAGGCTACTGTTCTTAACATTACCTTTCATTTAACTTCGCCTTCACACACCCACACACCCCTACTTACGGGAGCAGCCTTGTCTCCAGCTGTATCCAGACAGGCAGTCCTCACACTTTGGCCCAGTGGAGCCATCTCTACACTGGCAGAACCCTGTGTCGTTGCAGCGAGCATGGAAGGATCCCAGCTGGTTACAATTACACTCTGCACAAAGGGATTAACAACACATTGCTGCTTTAGTGAGGGTAGAAATAAAGTATATCTAAGATCACTGCTCATCAATCTAGTTGAAATAGCAGTTTCACTAGCCCTGGTCACATGTACCTACATAAACAGGTCAGTGGTAGGCTATTGGTTTGATACTGACGATTCTATGAACATTTAATCTCTTTACATGAAGGAACAATGTAGGCGTTGTCAGTTTTTACTTGTTCCCTAAGGCATCTCTCTCAGCCTGAGGAAACTATGACAGTCTGAGGCGTTGCTTTACTATTTCTCTGTAATACCTGCTTCAAGCCATGTTCTCTAGTACATGTCTTGTTCTCTGCCTGAAGACTTTAGGCCCACTTCACAGCTGTATCTTATAACACTGGCACTGAATTCTGTGACAAACTTATTTGGATAAAATGTGTGTTTTAAGAGCTCAGCTGACGTCATTGTTTAATTATTGAGAAAAATGTACGTTTTGCCTAAGTGGAAACCGGTATGACAGGGTTGTGTTCATTTGGCACCGAACAGAAGAAACGTTGATTTTTGTTTTTGTTGCAAAACATTGTCTGTTGCATGTCCAAATGAACACAACCCAGTTGTGTGTGAGTGAGCCTCCAGTAGGTGTCAGTATGCCATTGTGTCATTCCTGCTCAGTACTGTGCTGTGGTAGTGCAATAGTATGTGTAGTGCTATTTGTTACTACATTGATGAATGGCTCTGATATTACTTTAAAGTAAACATAATAATGGGTTTAAAAAAGTTTGACTATTTATTATAAATGTACATAAAAATCAGTAATAAACTATTAAAACCCATTGGTTAAAATTGTGAAATTGTCATTTTCTTGCTTTCCAAATAAATAGTTTATAAATGCACCTGAATGTTGCATGTTGTTTAAAATTGTTGATTGTTAAATGACATTTTGGCACTGGCTGTATTCTTTAGGTGTACAGTTATTTTTTCACCTTACCCAATGATACATGGGGAGTGGAATAGGATGTATGGGCACCACCAAACACAATTCTAATATAGATAGCAAAAGATCTGTAAAAGTACACTTAACCTACCCTTTACACTTGACCTCTTTAGAAAGGGCACCTTAATGTAAAGTGTTACATGTGCTGCTTTACAAACTTTGTAGGCTGATTAATTTAGATCTTGCAGATGTAATTGTAATTTTATAAAGGCTGCTATGGTATGAATGTTTATGTTTTTAAACCATTTCTAAATAAATTATCAGCTAGCTATGATGATTCTCTTTAGCTGTTAGTATGGTCAAAGGATCATGCTTTAATCCTGTTGAGCTAAAAGGGGTCATACAGGAGACACATAACAGAGATTTGCAGGTAATTCGTAGGGATTGAAGGCAATACACAATTATAATCTGTCTTGTTATGCCTTGATCAATGTCTTTATCAAACATTTTCCACTGTGCTTATCATTGTGTAATGTACATGGAGAAAGTCGACGGTAAAATGCTGTATGTGTGGACATGTCAGTGATGGATAAACTCTTCATAGTTGTTTATAGTGAGTGCGTTTAGGGTGGAGTTTGTGTGGTGAGACAGTGAGGAGAGATCCTAACTGACCTGTGCAAACGTTCTCATCGTCCAGCTCGGCAGAGACATTCCGGAAGTATCCCAGTCGACAGTGCTGACAGTTCTGCCCCCTAGTGTTGTGTTTGCAGCTGACACAAGTCACGATGTTGATAAAGTCAATATAACTGCAGCGGTTCGAGTGGCCATAGCACTCGCAGTCTGACAGAGGGAAAAGAGCAGAGTAGGGTTAGTACAGGGAATTGGAGGATGAGGAAGAGGAAGAGGAGGAGGAATGGAGTCCTTTTCAAACTCAGAGGTAGCACTCAAAGAGATTTAGGTACACCACATCTCTTTGAGTGTCGCTCATCATACAAAAGCCAAATAGGCAAGACATAGCAGGATCCATAGACCTGGAGTATGCAGAGTTCATAAACCAGTTCCTGACTTTGTCGACCAATAGGAAATCACTTGACCTCAATAAGCCCATATCTGCATTATTCAACCAGCTAACGATCAGGCCTCTGAGTACTGCACATTGATTTACCAAGAGGTAAAAAGTAATTAATGGTAGAGCAAATACACCAAATGTCAATTTAGTTTGCATTACATTCTTGATCAATTGATTAATTGATTTACAGCTAATTAAAATTGCTTTTTTTATTTGGATGTCATAATGGAGCTTATTATGCTTTAGGAGTGTGTTCCATTATACTACAAGAATCTGAATACAATTGTTTTTAATGCTAATTTACAAGACGATTTAGATGATTATAGTTTAGTTGTTTAATCAGGCATTGTGTTACATCTCTTTTTTTAGAGGGGATTCATTATTGACACAGTATTTTAAAGATGCTGCTGGTGACATATGAAGACCTGCTGTGCCACAGAGTAGAGGACTGGGACGGGGACAAGAACGCTTATCAAATATGAATGGGCCAATTACCCTACAGATTGTTGAAAGAATGGACACTATCTCACAAATGAATCCACAGTTAAAACAGTCATCCACACAAATGATACTGTAAAATCAGTCGAGACACAGACCCTATAGGTTCTGAGATTTCATTACAAGTTCACAATAAAAGGTAACGACAGTATTTCTATAAATGAAGGGGAAATAAGTTGCTTACCTTATGAAGCAAACAAAACCCAAACGTGAAAAATAAAAACACATGGAAAAAAACAAAAGACAAATTAATGAAGGAAAAACACTCGACAAACTTTGGTCCTTTTCCCACAGTTCTCTAGTCGAAACAGATTCAAAGCTTCAGTGTGGTAAATCATTTCTTACCTTGAAATTGGACGTATGCAACCTTAGACTGCCTGTATTTGGACCCACCAGGAATCAACAGTTTTACGACCGCTTGGGAAATAAAGCATCTATTTAACTGTATTATAGATAGTTCTAACATGCAATGTGTACAAGCCTCTACTTCACAGTGTCTGAAATATCATGGCTATTAAAATATAAAATTGATGCCAAAGGAACCCTGAAACACAATAGGGTGCCAACTGCTCAGACATCTTGCATGATTCACAGATAAAGACCTCACACATAAATAGTTATCAGCCATGGAAATCTACACATTAACACACAGTATTGTGTATTACTACAACGTTTAGTAATTCACAAAAAGTATAGATATTCACTCCTCTACCAGAACAACATCTCAGTCCCAATCAGACAATCCATCTCACCAGCAGTAAAATGCCTACCTGGGTTGTGTTTATTAGGTAACGCAACAATGTTTTTTTTAAACATTTTTTTCCGTTTAGTGCCTAGTGAACACAACCCTGAAGTGATAGTAATCACAGTCCATAGCAAAGATTTGCAGTTTTCAATACTGGTTCAGCTACAGCTGATGAGTGGAGTCTGAGTGGTGACAGAATCACTCACACAATACTATGTGGCATATTCTGTACCACAGGATCCTTGTCAACAACAAAAATACATTAGCTGCTCTAGGTTTGACAAACACACAGACTACTCCTAATGCTTGTTAGCAGCCTGGTGCTTTGAGTCAATAGCCTCATGAAATCATGGATCAGGTATCCTACTGGGACACGGGCTCATCCAAAAATGTCTCAATGCTTTTCCGCTCCTATTTTGTCCATCAATTATCTATTTGCACTCTGACCCCCAGTGCGGATGTTTTCCTATAGCAACCAGGCGACTAACACTCCAACTTCAACCCCATTGAGTGAGTTCAGGAAATTCAACATGGATGGTTACCGACACCACTACACATTGAAATGCGAATGTAAAGGACATCACGCTGCTTGCCTAGTGAGTACCACTTCCTCCTGATTCAGGCTCGAACCCAGGACCTCTGCCTTGCAAACAAACATGGCCGCCCTCCTGAAGCATCTTACCCAACTAGCTGTTTGGCAGCGCGAGTGGACACACTTCAGGCTGAGGTTTGAGTTTCACAGAGCCCAATCTGCTACCTTCACCCCCCAAACTCCCTCCACAGTGACCCCAGCATAGAGCTGAGCGCAACTGCAGATGCGAGTTATTTGGCACCATTGTAAAGGACGTCATGCTGCTTGCTTAACGAGCACCGCTTCCTCCTGATTCAGCTCATATCAAGGCTCAAACCCAGGACCTCTGCCTCGCAAACACACATGACTACCCTTCTGAAGTGTCTTACCCAGTTCGCGCCACCAGAAAGCTAGCTGTTCAGCAGCGCAAGTGGAGACACTTCAGGCTGAGGAGCGAGTTTCACAGCTCGCCATCTGCTTCAATAACAGAGTTGAGTTGTTGGATCACACTAAACTATTTTTTAAATCTGACACAACTATCTTTTGTAGCACACACAACATACAATATAAATACTACTAGACTACTGTTAATCAATATACCTTTTTTCTCATAGTCTTTCATTTCAAAATCGTTTTTTTTTTCTTTCATTTTCTCTTCCTCTTTGCTTTCCCCTTTGGTTTCAGTTATGGGGGTAACTGTGTACACCAGAGAGATTGAGAGATCAGAAAAATAGCAACTTCAAACTTTTTACTCATTCTTTATTCATGTTGAATGAACCCTTAGATATTGTCTCAACCATTTGACGAAGCAATTAAGGCAACACCTCGTATGAAGGTCATAAAACCTTACTGACATGACCCTATTAGCAGCATATAGACTGCATACACAACTGTATATTAGAGGTTAACATTATGAATTCTAAATATACCACTGGGCAAAAACTGGTTAAATCAACGTTGGTTCCACGTCATTTTAGCAAAAATATTAAATGTCATGTTGCTGAATCAATATGGAAAACTGATTGGTTTTGCAAAAACTCATCAACGTAGGGGAATTTCATATTTTCTTCACCCAACTTTGAATCTAAATCCAATGACATGGTGAAATGTGTCGTTTATTTCAATTTCACGTTGAATTCACATTATTTGACAACTCAACCAAATTTAAATCAAAACTAGACGTTGAAATTACGTCTGTGCCCAGTGGGATGGTTCCTTCAATATTTGCAGTTTTACCATAGTTTACTGATGGAATATGCATAAACTTGAACATGGAAAAATAAAAGGGTATTGTTGCTATATCACAATGTACCTTTTTCCTCTTTAACCTTTTCTTCTTTAATTTCCACTTTCTCACTGCCCCCAGCATCAGGCATTGGAGCGGCAGCATCAGGAGCTGGTCCTGAATCAGGAGCTGAATCAACTGAATCAAGAGCTGGATCAACTGCATCAGAAGCTGGATCAACTGCATCAGAAGCTGGATCAACTGCATCAGAAGCTGGATCAACTACATCAGGGGCAGGTCCTGCATCAGGGGCTGGATCAACAGCATCATCAGGAGCTGGATCAACTGTATCAGGAAATGAATCAACTGAATCAGGAGCTGGATCAACTGAATCAGGAGCTGGATCAACTGAATCAGGAGCTGGTCCAACATCAGCAGCTGGATCAACTGAATCAGGAGCTGGTCCAACATCAGCAGCTGGATCAACTGAATCAGGAGCTGGTCCTGCAGCAGGAGCTGTTCCTGCATCAGGAGCTGGATCAACAGCCTCAGGAGCTGGTCCTGCATCAGGAGCTGGTTCAACAGCCACAGGAGCTTGTCCTGCATCAGGAGATGGATCAACAGCCTCAGGAGCTGGTCCAGCATCAGGAGCTGGATCACCTGTGTCAGGAGATGGGGTAGCAGGATCAGGAGCTGCTGAAGATGTGTCTGGAGCTGTAGTAACTACATCAGGTGCCTGGGTAGCAGCATCAGATGTTGAGGTATCTGTGTCGGGGGATGGAGCAGCTGCCTCAGGCACTGATGCAAGTGTATCAGCAGCTAGGGGAGCAGCATCAGGTGCTGGAGTAGATTTGTCTGGAGCTTGGGTGATATCTCCATCCAGTGCACGGGAAAAAGGATCAGGTGCTGAGGAAACTGTGTCGGGAGGTGGAGGAACTGCTTGAGGTGTTGAAGTAGCTTCATCAGGTGGTGAGGTCAGTCCGTCAGATACTGAAGTAGCCACGTTAGAGGCGGGTGTATCTCCCTCAGATGCTGGAATAAATGTAGCATCAGGGGGTGAGGTAAATCCATCTGTTGGTGGTGTTACTACATCAGATGCTGGAGTAACTGTGTCCGATGCCAGAAAGGGCACACCAGATGTCGAAGTGAATACATCAGATGCTGAAGTAATAGTGCCAGATGTTGTGGTAAATATGTCAGATGTTGGAGTCATTGTGTCAAATATTATAGTACTTGTGTCAGATATAGTACTTGTGTCAGTTGTTGTAATACTTGTTAGAAATGTAGTACTTGTGTAAAATGTTGTGATACTTGTGTCTGATACTGCGGTAGTTGTGTCAAATGTTGATATACTTGTGTCAAATGTTGTGGTACTTATGTCAAATGTTGTAGTACTGGTGGCAGAAGGTGTACTACTAATGTCAAATAGTGTAGTACTTGTGTCAAATATTGTAGAACTTGTGTCAGATGTTATAGTACTTGTGTCAGATGCTGTAGTACTTGTTTCAGATGCTGTAGTACTTGTGTCAGATGTTGTAGTACTTGTGTCAGATGCTGTAGTACTTGTTTCAGATGTAGTACTTGTGTAAAATGTAGTACTTGTGTCAGATGTTGTAGTACTTGTGTCAGATGTTGTAGTACTTGTATCAGATGCTGTAGTACTGGTGTCAGAAGCTGTGGTACTGGTGTCAGAAGTCACTGTGTAAGAAGTTGTCATTGTGCTGTCAGGTGTGAGAGTAAATCCAACTGATGTTGGAGTGGTTGCATCAGAAGATGGTGTGACTGAATCAGATGTGGCATCAGCTGCATCAGATGATTGAGTAACTGCAATTGTGTACAGAAAAATCACACCAATCAGTTGTTAAGATGGCATACTAACCACTGCACCCTTATATTTATAATATTTTGATGTTGGCTGGCTGGCATTGTCTTGTGATATTTACAGCATTCAACTTTTCCCTATTTCAGTCAGTATCAGTAAAAATGGGATAACCCATGCCCTGATATCATCACATCCCCTGCATATGCCCTGTGGCTACACCTCAAGGACAGGGCTCTGTGCCTCCATCCTGTTATGGTTTCATGTATCTATCTACTGTATCTATCTCCACAGGCTCCGTAACTTGCCTGGTTTGCTCTCCCTTACCACGACCTGTCTTCTCCCTGCTTGTGAAATATTTAGCAGCTGTTCATTCAATTGGTATTCAGAAATAGATCAGAAAGGCTTGAGCTTTGGCACCCAGCACAATATTGCTGGCTCGACCCTGTGCTCCAGAAAGAGATGATGCTACACAATGATAGCGTTTTTAATGATTTATCGCTCCTGGCTGCTGATTGTGTCCAGTGGCAGCACTTTCCTTGTGAACAGTGGATATCATCAGACCCTTGCTAGGCAGGAGGAAGGTGGTAAGAGGGCAACAAACAGAATGACCATTTGATTCAAAAGTAAAATGCCACAAAGCATGTTGGTGCCATTCTATTGCAGGTGATATGAAATGTTCTGTTGCATTCCTTTTCCAATCAAACATTCCTTAGGGAATCAAAGTAGGCAGTTTAATCTGTGTTCTGGAAAGCCCTGGGATAAACTCAACATGCTGCCAGATCCTGAGGGATAGTGAGCCTGCTGGGTATTTTATCTTCCAAACAAGAGAGTAGAAAACACTTGGACAACTTCTCACCTTTTGCCAAATGTCTCTGTCAATATAGACAAAAAAGCAGCATGGAATGATATCATGAGTTACCTTTTTATCATTGGTCCTCTCAAAGTATGCATTCCAACACCCCTATTCATTCCCACATTCAATGTCTCTTTATAGGTGGGGGTTACAATGTAGCATTTGTACAGTGAATACAACAGCAAGGTTATGTTCTAATACTCCCCTTGGCAGTATTAGAACAGACAGGGATCCCTAAAGTGTAAGTAGCCTAGCACATGGAGATGTTAAGTGGTCAGCATCATGGCCCTTATACCATACATTGCCTTCAGGACTACTTTAGCCCAGTAATCATGTTTAATCTCTTTACCCCAGTGCAACCTCTTGGGAGAGTAAGGCACTCTATGGCCTCAGGCAGTCCTGATTCACACTGGGAGGGGTTAATGGGGGTAAATATGACAGTCTACAAGCTTCTTTGGGTTTCGTCTGCCAAACAATGAAGATGTTTTGTTTCTCCTGCATGTCTCTCTTACACGTCTGTTTCAAGGACCCAGTGTGCCACTTGATTGTTCCCATTAAACCAGTTTAATCTGCTGTTAACCCCTGCTCTCAGTTTTGCTTACAGGCAAGACGGTTTAAAACAGATGGTTTACAGACACAGATAATGCGTCGGACAAAGTGTTTTAGTAGGAGTAAGATCACAAACACTACTACAACACTGTGCTCAGTTCATCATTTGTATCCCGTCATTTATTGCTCTCATTTGTTGACACGGACGAAGCACAACGATCAACATTTCTATTATTACATCAATGTAAAAGTGCTAGTCAGTTATGACGTTGTATGGTATCATAACCAAGGTTTGCTTTGCTATTCTTATAGTCTCAAACGTTTGTAAAATGTACTAAAAGTCACAGAAAATCCATGTGACCATCGATATGTCCAAAGTGGATGTATTTCAAGAATAGTCTAACCAATATTCACACGTTTAGATCCCTGAACAATATCAGAAGACATTTGGAGAAAAAAGTATTATTTGAGGTGTTAAAGCTCATGTAGTGTAACGGTGAGAGGTCAGTCCTCTGGTGTTTCAGGGTACTTACCGTTCAGCTGCGCTCTCACTGTGGTTGTGGGGGGCTTTACCTCCATTGGGGGCGAGTTCACTGTGGTTAAGGATGGACTGTCTGTCTGGTCGGGACTGGCAGAGACTGGCACACTGTTTGACATACTGGCTGGAAGAGTGGCTGGTATAGTGGCTGGCACATAGGTTTGGTCTGTTGCCAGAAGCGGCACTTGAGGGAGCAATTGGAAAGCATTTACTGAGCTAGCAATGAGGTAATTTAGGTAATTGAGAGGTTTATTGCATTTTCACACCAATGCTCTCCAGATGTTGTCTAGCATCATAGACAAACATGCTGTACAGTGGGGAAAAAAAGTATTTAGTCAACCACCAATTGTGCAAGTTCTCCCACTTAAAAAGACTATGACAGACAAATTGAGGAAAAAAAATCCAGAAAATCACATTGTAGGATTTTTATGAATTTATTTGCAAATTATGGTGGAAAATAAGTATTTGGTCACCTACAAACAAGCAAGATTTCTGGCTCTCACAGACCTGTAACTTATTCTTTAAGAGGCTCCTCTGTCCTCCACTCGTTACCTATATTAATGGCACCTGTTTGAACTTGTTATCAGTATAAAAGACACCTGTCCACAACCTCAAACAGTCACACTCCAAACTCCACTATGGCCAAGACCAAAGAGCTGTCAAAGGACACCAGAAACAAAATGGTAGACCTGCACCAGGCTGGGAAGACTAAATCTGCAATAGGTAAGCAGCTTGGTTTGAAGAAATCAACTGTAGGAGCAATTATTAGGAAATGGAAGACATACAAGACCACAGATAATCTCCCTCGATCTGGGGCTCCACGCAAGATCTCACCCCGTGGGGTCAAAATGATCACAAGAATGGTGAGCAAAAATCCCAGAACCACACGGGGGGACCTAGTGAATTACCTGCAGAGAGCTGGGACCAAAGTAACAAAGCCTACCATCAGTAACACACTACACCGCCAGGGACTCAAATCCTGCAGTGCAAGACGTGTCCCCCTGCTTAAGCCAGTACATGTCCAGGCCCATCTGAAGTTTGCTAGAGTGCATTTGGATGATCCAGAAGAGGAGAATGTCATATGGTCAGATGAAACCAAAATATAACTTTTTGGTAAAAACTCAACTCGTCATGTTTGGAGGACAAAGAATGATGAGTTGCATCCAAAGAACACCATACCTACTGTGAAGCATGGGGGTGGAAACATCATGCTTTGGGGCTGTTTTTCTGCAAAGGGACCAGGACGACTGATCCGTGTGAAGGAAAGAATGAATGGGGCCATGTATCGTGAGATTTTGAGTGAAAACCTCCTTCCATCAGCAAGGGCATTGAAGATGAAACGTGGCTGGGTCTTTCAGCATGACAATGATCCCAAACACACCGCCCGGGCAACGAAGGAGTGGCATCATAAGAAGCATTTCAAGGTCCTGGAGTGGCCTAGCCAGTCTCCAGATCTCAACCCCATAGAAAATCTTTGGAGGGAGTTGAAAGTCCGTGTTGCCCAGCGACAGCCCCAAAACATCACTGCTCTAGAGGAGATCTGCATGGAGGAATGGGCCAAAATACCAGCAACAGTGTGTGAAAACCTTGTGAAGACTTACAGAAAACTTTTGACCTGTGTCATTGCCCACAAAGGGTATATAACAAAGTATTGAGAAACTTTTGTTATTGACCAAATACTTATTTTCCACCATAATTTGCAAATAAATTCATAAAAAATCCTACAATGTGATTTTCTGGATTTTTTTCCTCATTTTGTCTGTCATAGTTGACGTGTACCTATGATGAAAATTACAGGCCTCTCTCATCTTTTTAAGTGGGAGAACTTGCACAATTGGTGGCTGACTAAATACTTTTTTCCCCCACTGTATATACAGTCTTTTCTACAAAATCTATTCTACAAATCCACTGAGACTAATCTAAGTGTGGGTACTAAAAGTACCCAGACTAAAATACTTTGCATTCATATACAGTTTGAGGTGATCAGACTTTACACATACTACTAGGTTACCTACTATCAAATGCCTAATGCCTAGTATTCATCTCACTAGTTTCCCACCTGGTGTGTCAGTGAGGGAGTCACTGAGCTGTGTGCTGGATGTGGGACCCACCACAGCTGTCACTATGTCAGTGAAGGTGGTGATGTCTATTTGGCACAGAAGATAATCGGGGTCATACAGTATCTCGTTAGGGTCTGACGTTTTGAAGTATTCTAACAATGAATGCTAGGCCTCTAACTAAAGGTACTAAAGGCTGAGAGACAGAAATACAGGCACACAGAAAAGCATGTACACACACATAAACACACACGCACGTGCACTTGTAAACACGCCTACACACACACACACACACACACACAATACGGGTTTCTTTGCTCTTGCCATATAACCAAATCATGTTTTCATTCTCCCGTATGCCCAATATTTAAATCATACTAATATTATGCAGCAACATGCATTAAGTGTGGAGTCTCCCTGTAGTGAGCGACTCTGCCTCCTCCTGTAGATGGGTGCATTGGGATTCAGTGGGGTGCACTTGGAACAGTGGGAGCTTTCCTGCTGTCTGGCATGCTGATGTTTTATTCATTTAATGCTGCATCCCTCCCCAGTGGTTGATAATTAGCGCATGGCCAAAAGGACAAACTCCTAATTCAATCTTTGCATAAAAAGAGACCCTATTATCAGCCGGAACAGGTTTTTACACGCTGGGTACCACATATAACCTGCTTATGCATGTACTTTGGCACACTTGCTGGTGCATATCTTTGTGGCATCAATGTGGGGAATTGAAGTTGGTCATGTTCCACTTTCTTATTATCTGCATTTACATATCTGAATGTTTGTGCCAGAAGGAACATCATGGCTTTGTCAGGGTGCGGTATTAGTAACAAATGGCCATGTTGAAACCATATGAGTGCTGGAGGTGGATTTACCTTGGGTAAACTATCTGGGCTACATGGGACCCACATGTACACTACCGGTCAAAAGTTTTAGAACACCTACTCATTCAAGGGTTTTTCTTTATTTTTACTATTTTCTACATTGTAGAATAATAGTGAAGACATCAAAACTATGAAATAACACATATGAAATCATGTAGTAACCAAAAAAGTGTTCAATATATTTTATATTTGAGATTCTTCAAATAGCAACCCTTTGCCTTGATGACAGCTTTGCACACTCTTGGCATTCTCTCAACCAGCTTCATGAGGTAGTCACATGGAATGCATTTCAATTAACAGATGTGCCTTTTTAAAAGTTAATTTGTGGAATTTCTTTCTTTCTTAATGTGTTTGAGCCAATCAGTCGTGTTATGACAAGGTCGGGGGGTATACAGAAGATAGCTCTATTTGGTAAAAGACCAAGTCCATATTATGGCAAGAACAGCTCAAATAAGCAAAGAGAAACGACAGTCCAACATTACTTTAAGACATGAAGGTCAGTCAATACGGAACATTTCAAGAACTTTGAACGTTTCTTCAAGTGCAGTCGCAAAAACCATCAAGCGCTATGATGAAACTGGCTCTCATGAGGACCGCCACAGGAATGGAAAACCCAGAGTTACCTCTGCTGCAAAGGCTAAGTTCATTAGAGTTACCAGCCTCAGAAATTGCAGCCCAAATAAATGCTTCACAGAGTTCAAGTAACAGACACATCTCAACATCAACTGTTCAAAGGTGACTGTGTAATTCAGGCCTTCATGGTCGACTTGCTGCAAAAAAACAACTACCAAAAGGACACCAATAAGAAGAAGAGACTTGCTTGGGCCAAGAAACACGAGCAATGGACATTAGACAGGTAGAAATGTGTCCTTTGGTCTGGATTGGAGATTTTTGGTTCCAACCGCCATGTCTTTGTGAGATGCGGTGTGGATGAACGGATGATCTCTGCATGTGTATTTCCCACCGTAAAGCATGGAGGAGGAGGTGTTATGGTGTGGGGGTGCTTTGCTGGTGACACTGTTTGTGATTTATTTAGAATTCAAGGCACACTTAACCAGCATGGCTACCACAGCATTCTGCAGCGATACGCCATCCCATCTGGTTTGGGCTTAGTGGGACTATCATTTGTTTTTCAACAGGACAATGACTCAACACACCTCCAGGCTGTGTAAGGGCTATTTTACCAAGAAGGATAGTGATGGAGTGCTGCATCAGACGACCTGGCCTCCACAATCCCCCGACCTCAACCAAATTGAGATGGTTTGGGATGAGTCGGACCGCAGAGTGAAGGAAAAGCAGCCAACAAGTGCTCAGCATATGTGGGAACTCCTTCAAGACTGTTTGAAAAGCATTCCAGGTGAAGCTGGTTGAGAGAATGCCAAGAGTGTGCAAAGCTGTCATCAAGGCAAAGAGTGGCTATTTGAAGAATCTCAAATATAAAATATATTTTGATTTGTTTAACATGTTTTTGGTTACTTCATGATTCCATATGTGTTATTTCATAGTTTTGATGTCTTCACTATTATTCAACAATGTAGAAAATAGTACAAATAAAGAAAAACCCTTGACTGAGTAGGTGTTCTAAAACTTTTGACCGGTAGTGTATGTGGAGCAGAGGTGGGCACTGAGGCAAGTCACGATGTCCTGCAGCTGTAGGGTAACATTACGTTTCGTAGGTTGGGACATGTACATCTTTCCACTAACCCCTCCCCTCTCCCCCTTTTACCATCTGCCACAATGGCCAACCAGTTCAGAGAAGGTTTCCCAGAGAAGATCTGTTCCCTGAAAGACAGCTTGATGGTGGAATTACACTGGTGTGTGTGTGTGTGTGTGTGTGCGTGTGTGTGCGTGTATGCGTGCGTGTGTATGCAACCCAGAGAAGCCTTGGGGTGGACATTGGTAGGTAATAATCATTGCCTGTTCATAACCATATTCATTATAATCTAAAAGTCTAAACTTTTCGTGAATTTGTTCTTAATTGACCTGCCTTGTAAAATGAAAAAATAAAAAAAATGAAAAAGATCAGCCCTCCAGGTTGAGAAAAGGCTGCCTTTGTACTTTGGACAACCATTTTGATAAACAAGTAGGTGAGTGAGAATTGTCTAAAGAACAAGTCATGCTGAATAAATATGGAACCCTTCATTTTTTTTTACTGCAAAGCACCTTAAGTGTACGTTGCCTAGAAGCCCCTATTGTCCCATCAATGTTGAGCACATTCATAACTGTGTTCTCAGTAGATGACTGTTCTCAAATCTCCCTCTGATACTTGTGACACCGCAGAGAAAGGTATCAGAAGAAGGCGCTCGTAAAGAAACATGGATGACCTTTCCTCTTACATAGTGATGTTGAGTGTATTCCATAATTCATCAGAACAAATGGCTAGTGACGTGTCTATAGGTTTCCAATGATGAAACGAAAAAATTACAAATTTCAATAGTTCAAGCTATCATGAACATTTTAAGCATAGGCCAGGTCATCTCAGACTAAAACGGTAACTATGAGCCCATGGCGTTATAAAGACCCATCTCAGTGGAAGCTAAATGGACAACCGGCCCTGTTGTGCTCCACTGTGGACAACAGTGTATCACTTTCACTATGTAGAGTAGATGACTTCACAGTATCCTGTCCTAAGCTGTTTCTGTGGGGATGGTCCTTAGATTTAAGTGCACTCTACAAACTAAGAGCTGGATTCAATCCGTATCGCGGAAGTATCGAGGAAGATTCGCATTAAAATGTAAAGGTAAGAGAAACAGAATGGTAAAGTTTGAGGCCATGTGGTGGAGAGTAATATGGGTGCTGGAGATGGGGGTGTGAGCAGGTGGGGCTGGGGTGATGTTGTGGATGTTTCTGTGCATTTGGTATGTTGTCGTTTGCATGTGTATATTTATTTAAAAAAAAAATCATAAGTAAAATCTTATAACAAAACAAAAGAGAAAAATAAGAGATGAGGTAGTCATGCAAAAATCATGTTAAACACTAATATTGCACACAAAGTGAGTCCATGCAACTTATGTGACTTCTTAAGCAAATGTTTACTCCTGAACTTATTTTGGCTTGTCATAACAAAGTGGTTGAATACTTATTGACTCGAGACATTTCAGCTTATATTTTTAATTAATTTGTAAAAATGTCTAAAAATATAATTCCACTTTTGACTTTATGGGGTATTGTGTGTAGGCCAGTGACACAAAATCTCTAATTTAATCCATTTTAAATTCAGGCTGTAACACAACAAAATGTGGAAAAGGTCAAGGGGTGTGATACTTTCTGAAGGCACTGTATTTGCATTTGAAAATGACATTTGTTACTACGGAGGTTTTGAAGTCACTACTGACAGGGAACACACACTCACAGAGCCTATGGGAGTGTGTCACTTCACAGCAGTAGAGACAGAGCCATTAGGTGGTTCCACTCTGCTAAGCCACACACAGGTCAGATATCACTGGGCCATGGGAGACTCTCTGTCTAGCCTGACATTATGGGAGATTCTATGGAAGTATTATAAGTTAAGGATATCTAGTGAAAGTACAACCCAGTTGCCAAAAAGACACACTCTGCCTTACCTCCAGCTGGGTGAATGTATCCTTCATTTCAGTGAGTCTCTCTCTCTCTCTCTCTCTCTCTCTCTCTCTCTCTCTCTCTCTCTCTCTCTCTCTCTCTCTCTCTCTCTCTCTCTCTCTCCTCTCTCCTCTCCCCTCCTCCCTCTCTCTCCTCCCGTGCTCTCGTCCTCTCTCTCTCTCTCTCGCTCTCTCTCTCTCTCTCTTCTCTCCCAAAGGGAAGTCTCTCTCTCGTCTCCTCTCCTCTCCTCCTCTCCTCTCTCCCCCCTCTCCTCCCTCGTCTCTCTCTCCTCTCTCTCTCCCTCTCTCAGAAATGAATGCATACACACACAAATGGATGTGTGTGCGCACGCACACACAAACACACACGGGAAGCAACTGTTTACTACAACAAACAATATTGCTACTTCTCTGATAACACAAATGCAGATATGTTATATTCTTTCTAGCATGCTATGCATCACAAACTACTGTAGGGGGGCTGGTAAAAGTGAGTGAGCTATTCAACACTCATACTCAACCAGACACTTTACTACATGCTAAATGACTAAGCTCACTGAGACAAAGATTCATCAACTCCTCTCTTCCTTTGCCTTTGTGCTTCATCAACATTATAGCCTTGCCTTCCCTTTCAGATTTGCAGGACTACACATTTCCTGGTAATCAGGAATGCAACAGGGACACATTCCACTGTATGTGCTGCTTTAGTAAGTGTACTCTGGTTTAAAAGTCAATAGGAAGCAGGAGCTTGATGAGCCCTCAGACTATGGCTGCGTCTGATTGCACCTTATTCCATATAGTGCACTACTTTTGACCAGGGCCCATAGGGCTCTGTAATATTGCACTATATAGGCAATATACTGTGTATAGGGAATAGGGAATAGGCTGCCATTTCAGGCACTGCCTGGCTGTCAGAAACTACAACTGTAGTTGCTTTCCCACCTGCCATAATAGTAGTAATTGTGGGCAGTTGGTCTGTGGGTGTCTTGGTTGTAGTCACCAATGCAGGTGTGGTTGTTGGCAGGGTCTGGACTGTTGTGGGTACTGAGAGTGCACCACACCAAGAAGGTAGAGAAAAACAGTCAAATGATATCAGATGCACTAACATGGGAATATCCTGATCATGGATATACCATCAAATCATCCTTTGGTCATCTCCCAAATCAACAAGATGGTTACTTCACCACAGCTGCAGCAGTACAGTATCTCCTATAGGTCTGCAAAGAATCCCCATGAGGGACTCTAGTATATACATTCACAGCCCCTCTCACATCATGTCCTTGGGCTAGCCCTCATCTACACACTTTAAATCCCCTCCCCACTTTTGAATTATAGACCGGCAGTAAAGGAAATACAACTGTGGGGAAATGTCATTTGTGAGTGTGATCATTGTGATTAGAATGAAGGGACCCACCACAACACCAGAGGGGAAGGACAAATGATATAAGATAATGTGCTATAAATAAGACAAAAGAATGATAGCATATGGCAACCAGAGAATGAAAAAGAAAGTATAGCATAGCCCCACCGTTTTGATTTAGGACGTTGACTTACTGCCAATGAGTCCCAGCAGCCTCACCTGAGAGGAGAGAGGAGAGCTAGAGAGAGAGAGTAGAGAGAGATAGAGGAGAGAGAGAGAGAGAGAGAGAGAGAGAGAGAGGAAAAGAGCGTAGATATGAGAGAGAGCAGAGAGAGCGCGAGAGCGCTCTCTCGACGAGCGAGAAGAGAGCTCTGAGCGATGACCTCTCGCCGAGAGCGCGAATACTCGCTCTCGATCTCCGCTCTATCTCTCTCTCGAGAGAAGAGAGAGAAAGCGGAAGAGAGATAGCGAGAGCGCGAGAGAGAGCGATAGAGAGATAGCGAGAGAGAATAGAGAGAGAGAGATGAGAGGGGAGAGAGAGGAGAGAGAGAGAGAGAGAGAGAGAGAGAGTGAACTTGAGAATTACAGTGTTTTTGTAAATACATCTAAGAAAAGAGAGCTGGAGGCTTTTCAATGCTTAATGTAGTACATCAGCCGCCACATCTGCCATTGGAAGCAGCAGGCCCCCATTCCCTCTGTAGTTTGCGAGTATAGCATTGGGTGCTTCTGAATATGTATATGTGTACATCTCTCCTTTGAAATGTGACAGCTTCAGCTGCTCCTCTCTGTGGCTGTGTAGAGCAGATGACCCAAATTATTCTTCAACCATTACTTAATCCATCAAGTATGTGCCTGGTATAGTATGGATGATACAGTATGGTACGGATGGTATGGATGGTATCATGTTTGAGTATACAGTAGCTATTAGGGATTAATATTTCCCCGAAAATCTACCATGTTTCGATACCGGGAATAATTCATATCTATCTCGAGAGTCCCGGGAAATACCGTAAAAATCAGAAGAGCCAATTTAAAGCGTTTAAAATCAAGATATGGTTACTATGCCAGGGTTCTCCCCAAATAAGAGGGGCGCTGCGCCACCTTGACGGCTTGGCTGTGCCACTATGTAAAGACTTCAGAGCAAATGAATCTGATATTTCCTAATGATAGAGTAACTATCTTAGATTCCCAGCGCATTTTAATGCACAACAGGAGTCAGGATTTTGGGTTTCAGTGGGATTGGGACTGGATAGAAAAATAGCCTAGGCTCTAGGATAGGAGAAGATAGAATTTTCCCTCATGCCTCTCTGAACTGTTAACAAACTTAATGTCTGTGACAGAGATGCCTATGTAGTGAATTGTGCATAGGCCTATCAAGTTTGTGACTGTCAGAAGATTCACAATACTATTAAAGGCACACATTCTTTTATAGGCTATAAGCCTACTGTATGGGTTTCCTGTAAGGTTTATTAACTGCATTCGGGTCTCGCGTGCAGTCCGGCAGTGTCAATTGTGCGTGTGCTTTGAATTTATGGCGACTTGAAGTAAATCCGCTAGGTTAAAGGCTTCCATGCGACAACCTGTTTGGATAATGTGCTATAAATGTTTTTGCTAATCTGATGCTGCGCATGTTGTGTATGGCCTGCATTAGTGCCGATATTGGGGGAAAATGTTGTAATTTCCCGGGTCTTGTCATTCAATTTTTTCAGGAAATGTGAAGAGTGTTCACAAGACAGTCCTGGGATCCCGGTTACCCATGTTAATTCCTAGTAGCTATATTGAAGGTTACGTACAGGTATTGGGGGATCCGTTGGGGGTGGGTAGGTACGATCCAGGTTTCCATGACTTGGTTTTGAAGCCCCTCTCACAGCGAGTGCAGTCTTGGCCCGTCGTATTGTGTTCACAGTCACACTGCAGGCTGCCCTCCCGAAAGGTGCACTGGCCAGCATGGAGGTTACACTTACACCTATGGCAAGTTGGGTGGGGGAGAGAGGCATAAACATTGTCAGTCCACAACATGTCACTGTTATGCCTCGCTTGAATTTGAACAACTGCTATGCTAATCATGCATGATCATGTACACCTAGTTGGAATTGACATTATTGTAGACAAGCCAATCAATTCTTATGCCCCCTCTGTACAGTAGAAGTCAGCAGGTGGTTATTGATCAAGAGATTATTTGATCAATTGCTTACCTGGATAAATAGTGGTCTTAAATACAGTAGTAAGATTAAAGAGTAAGATTTAAATTACATTGTTAATTTATTGCAAGCTCAAAGCTGAGTATGAGCACAAGCGATAAAACGTTGAAAATTATGATTGACAATCTGCAGTACATACTTGCATGTTTTAGAATGGCCAGAGACAAATCTTTCAGGGAAACAGAATCAAATAAATAGATAAGAAAATGTAAACTACCAGGTCAACCAACACTTCCTGATCTCGAGAAATGACCTGGCCATGTACATCTAAATTATTTTTCAAGGGGGTGGAATTGAGGTGGCGAGAGAGGTGACATTTGAATAACAATCTTCATAATCAAATGAGGGAGTGACTTCCAATACACTGTGTTCCACTCTGGTGAGCCACCCACCCTCCATTTGCATGGAATATTCATAGAATGGACCTCCACATCTCCAAAAGGATGTCTCCTCTCCGCCTCTCCTCTCAATTACGAGTGAAAATTCAATTGAATCAAAGGGGAATTATCCAAATAGTGACACTCTGATACCATAACCATGTACAGTGGGCTATCACTTCTTATCATCACATTGTCCTCAATATTGACTTTAAAGGTTAGATATACGTTAATCCTGGTAAAGATCGATACAAAGGGGATCATATGAGTATGTGGCTCTTTCTCATTTCCTACCCAACACACTGAGGAGGATAATTGACAGACAGAGCCCGGTTTCATTCCAATCCCATTGACTTTAATTAAGTCTGTTTTCAAAAGCCCCCTTGGAAACAGTTGGAGTTTCTCCCACCCTCTCAAGACCTTTAAGCCATAATTAAAAACTTGGCGACAATCGCAGGGCTTTTTCATCCCAGCGCTCCTGGAGACAGAACTCCCATCAAGCACCTCTTCACGACAAATTAATCAGTGGCCCACTTCGTCTCAGTGCCTTCTGGGAAAACCCACGGCACTCCAGCTTATCATTGGATCCTCCACTTTACCCCCACTATTAATCAATTACAGTACTCTTTGGGCAGTTAGCAATCATCTCCGACCAAACCTCTTTGCACAAAGATAATATTATTCACTCCTTAAAAGCCCAGTGCAGTCAAAAACTTGATTTTGTTTTTGTTTCTTTGTGACCATTTTAACTGAAAACAATCACAGTAAGGTACTTCATTAAATCAAATTGTATTTGTCACATGCACCGAATACAACAGGCGTAGACTTTACTGTGAAATGCTTACTTATGAGCCCTTTCCCAGAGTTAAAAAGTAAGAAAAAATGTGCTCAATAAAAAAAATGAAATAGTAACACAATAAAATAACAATAACAAAGCTATATACAAGGAGTACCGGGCCAATGTGCAGGGGTACGAGGTAGTTGAGGTAATAGAGTGGAGATCCTTCACTTTTTCCACATTTTGTTACGTTTCAGCCTTATTCTAAAATGTATTAAATTGTATAGAGGTCCTGAATGGCAGGGAGCTTGGCCCCAGGGATGTCCTAGGCCGTATGCACTACCCTCTGTACCGCCTTACGGTCGGATGCCAAGCAGTTGCCATACCAAGCGGTGATGCAGCCAGTCAAGATGCTCTCAATTGAGGATCTGAGGGCTCCAAATCTTTTCAGCCTCCTGACGGGGGAAGAGGCATTGTCGTGCCCTCTTCATGACTGTGTTGGTGTGTTTAGACCATGATCGGTCCTTAGTGATGTGGACACCGAGGAACTTGAAGCTCTCAACCTGCTCAACTACAGCCCTGTCTCAGTGAATGGGGGCGTGCTCAGCTCCTTTGTCTTGCTGACGTTGAGGGAGAGGTTGTTTTCCTGGCACCACACTGCCAGGTCTCTGACCTCCTACGTATAGGCTGTCTCATCGTCATCGGTGATCAGGCCTGCCACTGTCGTGTTGTCGGCAAACTTAATGATGGTGTTGGAGTCGTGCGCGGCCACGCAGTCGTGGGTGTACAGGGAGTACAGTAGGGGACTAAACACGCACCTCGTGTTGCGGGTTAGCGTGGCGGATGTGTTGTTGCCTACCCTCACCACCTGGGAGTGGCCTGTCAGGAAGTCCAGGATCCTGTTGTTCAGTCTCAGGTTCCTTAGTTTAGTGATGAGCTTGGAGGGCACTATAGTGTTGAATACTGAGCTGTAGTCAATGAACAGCATTCTCACGTAGGTGTTTTTTTTGTCCAGGTGGGAAAGGGCAGTGTGGAGTGCAATAGACATAGCGTAATCTGTGGATCTGATGGGGTGGTATGCGAACTGGAGTAGGTCCAGGGTGTCTGGGATGATGGTGTTGATGTGAGCCATGACCAGCCTTTCAAAGCATTTCATTCGAGCTACGAGGCGATAGTCATTTAGACAGGTTACCGTCGGTGTTCTTGGGCACAGGGACTATGGTGGTCTGCTTGAAACATGTAGGTTTTACAGACAGGGTCAGGGAGAGGTTGAAAATGTCAGTGAAGAGACTTGCCAGCTGGTCAGCGCATGCTCTGAGTATGCATCCTGGTAATCCATCTGGCCCCGGGGCCTTGTGAATGTTAACCTGTTTAAAGGTCTTATTCACATCGGCTACGGAGAGCTTGATCACACAGTCATCCGGAACAGCTGGTGCGTCACTGGGCAGCTCGCGGCTGGTTTCCCTTTGTAATCCGTAATAGTTTGCAGGCCCTACCACACCGGCGAGCATCAGAGGCGGTGTAGTAGGATTCGGTCATAGACACTTTGCCTGTTTGATGGTTCATCGGAGGGCGTAGCGGGATTTCTTATAAGCGTCCGGTAGAGTGTCCCGCTCCTTGAAAGCGGCAGCTCTAGCCTTTAGCTCAGTGTGGATGTTGCCTGTAATCCATGGCTTCTGGTTGGGATATGTACGTACGGTCACTGTTAGGACAACGTCGTTGTAGCACTTCTTAATGAAGCCGGTGACTAATGTGGTAAACTCCTCAATGCCATCGGATGAATCCCGGACCATATTCCAGTCTGTGCTGGCATTGTTAAGTAGAAAGTATTTGATATTGAGATAAAAACGGCAGCATTGGACCTTTAACATGCTCATAGAACTTGTCGCCAACTATTTCACAAGACAGCTCGAAACATTTCATGCTGAAGCTATACTCCACCACAGATGTCTGAACCGAATACAGGAGTCCTTCCCGAGCTATTTCCGGCGTTCACAGGAACATTTTCCATCCTCCTCCATTTATGCTTACAAATAATGCATGAACACCGAACATGTTAATGTACGAGATATTTGCATCCACTGGCAGGTCCCCTATTACTGTAAGAAAGCCACTGTGGCATATTTAATGACACAGACCCTACCCAAGCCCTATCCCTGACTGTAGCGCTTCCAGGAGAAAGGGCACACTCTAAACAAAATAATTCTGATGCAAAAGAGGCCTGTCTTGTCTGACGGCAGAATAAATGCCTGCTGGCATATTCTAAATGTGCTTAGTTATGAGCTGTGAAACACCATGCAATGCACACACACTAGTAGGCTGATTGGTATGCATCACCATGAATATTCTAAATTATTGATTCCTCACAAAAAAGTGCAAAGTGGACAGTAAAGCCCCTTGATTAAAAAAGGGGAGTGAGCCAAGGACAGCATGAATCATTTGTTACATTGTAAAGGACAGTATGGACAAGGCGGGTCTATCTTTGACAAAAAAAAAAAAAAAAACACTGTTTTCCCTTTTCCTTTAAGGCCTTCAAAGCCTATATGGGTCCTTCTGTAGCTCAGTTGGTAGAGCATGGTGCGTGCAACGCCAAGGTTGTGGGTTCAATTCCCACGGGGGGCCAGTATGAAAAATGTATGCACTCACTAACTGTAAGTTGCTCTGGATAAGAGCGTCTGCTAAATGACTAAAATGTAGTTGAGGTGGCTGTGGAAAAGAGAATGCACTGTATACTGTATATTAATGGCTCTGTTCACACTGCGCTCTACATTCAGGAAGTATCCTGCCTTCACACAGTGGCTCTCACACACACACACACACATAGACCATCCATCCATAGTGAGTCATTCATTACTTAGACCATGTCGATTTTCAAGGGCAAAATCAGTGTGCGAAAATCGCACTGTTGTCAAGGTGTGAGGATGTGTGCATTGGATTCTCAAAGTGCCACCGATACCCTACCCCTCCCCTTATGAGTGTGGATGGAGCCTCACTTCTGTGCTCTCTGAGGAAAATGCCCTCCTTCCTTCCCAGAACCAGGGCAGCTATATCCGGTTGCTGCAAGGCAAACCCCCCACTGTCTGGGCTCATGAGCTCATGTTACAGGCCAGCCAAGCCCTGCTATTGGGCCAGGATCAAACCCCCATCCGGCCATCTGGAGAGGAAGAAGGAACATGGCCCGGCCACAGTACTATTACCACGCACAGGACAGATTGACTGGAGGAGACGTTACGTACGAAGTCTGTTGCAAACACAGGAAGACAATCCTGTTTTTAAATCCGCTGAATATAATGACATAATCACAGCCTATAAACAGGACGATAGAAACAAAAAAAGCTTCTGCTGGAGATGAGAAACGCAGCATTTAGGTGAGTAAATAACAGCAAGCGCTAAACAAATGTGGATAGACAGATAAAAGGCTGGTGTAGACTTGCGTGCTCTGCTCACTTACAGCTTGGAGCTGCCGTTAATGGGAGCATTATTTATTTGCTCAACTTCTCTCGTGAGAATCCCCCACTATTCAGAAACACATACAATTACTGTTTCTGACCTACTACTCAGCCGGGACAAATAGGCTCATAACCACCATGATGCATTTCTAAAGTGGGC